GGAATCCTGTCTACGAAATGGCGCATTTGAGATTTTCCAATTCTTGTAACTGGCTTGTTATGGATAATTTGATGGTACGGGAGCATATTTTTTTATACTGTGCTATGTATTTGGTATATATTTTTATTGTTTTGACTGAAACAATAAAACATCTCTTGGATTTACCTTTTCTTAAAAAAAAAACTAGTTGAAATTAAGAATATGAAATGAAGGTAAGAATATTAAACCTCAGCTTCTTACCACCAAATATTGAGATGAATCCAGAATAAACAACATAGAAAATATGCTTTCCCTGAAATAATAACCAAGGTGTGCTAGGTCACTCTACATGTGATAGGGAGTGGATGGAGAGAAATTAGAATGAACTGAAACCTTCCCAAAATTCTGAGAGATTCCATCTTGATAGACTTCCAAGTTCTTTGATCATTTCAAAAGCTACAACTTCTTCCAGGCTCACACTATACAGTACATACATTTTTCATTATAAAGGAAACTGCTTTATAGAAAATAACTAGGCTTTTCTTCTGAAAAGTGTTGGTCCTTAGCAGCTTCTGCAAGCATGCACCAGTCATGGTAGGGAGAAATTCAGAATTGCTTTTCTGTTTGGGGATTGAGCAAGGCAGGAGTTAAGACGTTTCAGCGATAGAAGAGACTCCTCTGAGTCATACTCAATTTCTGGTGGTTTCGTGGACACGTTCATGCTATTTCTTGGGCAACAATTCAGAAGGAATTTGCCACTGCCTTCTTGTATTTCCCCTCAACACACAATTTCCCAATATAAGCTAGAGACCTTGGATGTCCTTGTACTCTCCTCCTCTCTATGTAATACCAAGGCCCAACTCTGCTGTGCTTCTTTCTGATATTAACCAAGTTTGGCTAGGTGCTACCATCTGCTATAACCAATTTAGAAGTAGAAGTTAGCATAACAATATAAAAGGTACTCATTCAGTTATAAAGTATGATGCCATAATCACTGTTGCTTTGTACCAATACAAACAGAATCTGCTACAAAATCTTGCAATATAGAGTGCGCCTTGTTTAGAATTCCTTTCTAACCTCTGCAGCACCCCAACTCTACTAGCATCTCTTCCTAAATGTATTTGGCATTTCCACAAAGCTTTAGTTATTCCTCAGAATACCTAATATCACTGTCCTGGGTCTGGGTTATGCTGTATGGATTACCTAAATAGCATCTGAAACCTGAAGGAGAGGACCCAAACTTTTCTAAGCACCCTGTAACTAGTTTAAAAATAAGGCAGGCCTGATTTACAAATGTAACAAAATGATGATACAATGGGGAAAGAAAAAAAAATTAGAAGGATAAGGAAAAGAAACATGGAGCAACTAGCTGGTCTCTCCATCTGCCACAAAGTTCTTGGAAAGCTAGGGATGTTATCTCCAAGAGTCCTTGGTCTTTTAGTCAACGGCAGACAATAAACTGTGCTTTCTGTTGTCCTGGGTTATTAGCACTAATGTGTTTCAATGGACAAAACACTATTCATATTTTTGAGTATATGTTATTTAAGAAAAGAACAGGGAGAATTGCTCTGCCCAAATTTTCTCCCAACATTCCAGGTTTCTACACGGTGAGTCTTTTGCACAAAGGAGCATCCAGCCCTTCCAGCTCCACCTGTGTCCTACAGCAGAACAGGCAAGAAATATACATTGTGACTTCATCTACCATTTGTGAAACAGACGCGAGGCCAAGCCTAAAATGTGTAGCTTGCAAGACCTCATGAGACAAATCTCAAATGTTTGATCAGTACACTGCCTACTGCACGGTGACATCATAAAGCAGCTACAACCTTTGGACAAGGGGAGGCTGTATTTTCAGTGTGTCTGGCTTTATCACATGACTCTGCAATAGTTGTCAAGTGCTCTTGATTAAAATCACATTCCACACCCATCCAAATACTTCTGAAGCAAGGAAGGACCTTTAAACAAGATCTTTGCACTGGAGACTGCTAACTCCAAGAATTGTTTGCTTCTCTTCCTATAAACCACAGTATCTAGAAAAAACTGTAGATATAAGATGGCAAAATGGCTGCAGTAAACATCTATTTTCTTGGCCCCCCCAAGGAGGATGTTTAATGGAAGACAAACCAGTTTCAGAAACCTTGAGTGTGTTTTGACACAATGCATTCAAGCTGCTTACTAACGCAAGCCCCAAATTACTTGTGGATTCAGATGGATTTGTTAGTGGAGTTGTTAGGGTTCTTCAAGTCAATCTTGACTCCAAGTAAATACATGGACAGGTCCATGCAGTTTTCTTGGCAACATCTTCAGAAGTGGTTTGGTTTCTTTTGGGATGTTTTTTATCTAACTGTAAGAGAGAGTGACTGGCCTGAAGTCACCCAGCTGGTTTTCATGCCTAAAGGAGGATGAAAATTTGGGTCTCCATGCTTCTAATACAGCATCTCTAACCATTACTTCCAAACCGGTGGATTTACAATCTCTCTAATATGCAGAGTCATAATAACCTACTCCTAGCTTAAAATAGAGGGAATTCTCAAGCTTACCCATGGGGGGGGGGTGTTCTAAAGACCTCTTCCTCCCCTGCTATTGAGCAATAAATTAATCTCCCACTATTGACCTACGTAACAGCTTGCTTATCAACACCATGGTACACTAGTCAACAAATTAACCACAAATGATAATTAGGTTGTCAGTGGACAGATGATAGATAACAATACAATAGTAAAAGCTGCAAGGGGCATCAGCTTCTAGTCACAAATCAAGTGAAGGATCTACTTCTGTTGTTCATTATGTTTCAGCAGCTGCAATCTGAAATACACAGTCAAGATCACATAACTTCAACTGGCCACCCACTAGGAGAACACTGCATGGATGCTAAATTCTTGTAATTCATTCTGGAATGGTCACAAGAGACCACCCAGAGCATAGGCACCAAGATGCCTACAAAGCTCCCTGCCAAAACTGGTTCTGTAAATGGAAAGAGGGAGAGGGGGAAGGAGTTGGCATGCTGAAAACAAGTGGTAAGTCTTTGGCATCACTTTTACTTCCAGTAATTCCTCTGGGCCTACATGGGATGAGGCCTGTAAGGGTTCCTAGAAAATAAAAAATTGTGAAGGTCTGCAACCTATTGCATTATTAGGGCATCTGCTCACCTATCCCTGCAAAATTGTAAGGAGAACCTGGGATGGATTAAAGTATCCTTGCCTTGAGGCAGGGGAAGAATTAGAAGTGATGATGGGACACAATCTCACTGGTATGCCTTCTGCTAAACAACTGCTTCAGGACTAGCCCTGTTTACTATGGCAGCCATTTTGGCAATGTGCAAGTGTCCTCAGGGCAGCCATTTTGGGAAAGGGCCCAAGACACCGTCAGCTTTCCAAATATGCTCACCAACCAGGACAGCACTCAACCTGTGTGATAACATGTATAACATTAAGTGAGTATAATGTGAATTTTATAGTTGGGGTGCTGGTAATGGAGAAAGAGTGCACAGAGCAACATTCCCCAATCTGATGCCCTCCAGATATGTTGAACTAGATAGAACTAGATAGATTTTCCAGCCTCTTAAGGGAATTCTAGGAGTTGCAATCCAACATAAACAGAAAATCATCAGGCTAGAGCTTATAATATGGAACATTAGGGTTAGATGGTTAAATGGACAGCTATGTGAATATGTAAATTAAATATAGTATACATTTAAAGTTATATTCATCCCAGGCTTCACCTTATCAGTTTGACTTTAATAACTATCCTTCATGATAATAACTATCCTACTCCATGATTTGATCCTATGAAGCCAAACCATGGTTTGGATTTGCTTTAGTGCATTCTGTAAATCCAATCATGATGTATGTTTAAAAAACATCATTAATACATTGTTGAATCCAGCTGATATATTAATTCTGGGTAATTTTCTGTGAAAATCAAGCTTAAAGCAGCTTAAACTCCTTGGTAGTGATAGACTTCACCCCAGGCATAGGGATAAATCTTGGCCCTCCAGAAACTCAGTTTGATTCAGGAATAGGAGAACAGCAGAAGCTTCACAGACTCAACATAGCTGAATAAGTTGCTTTACTGTAGGCAAGAAAGAATTCATATGTATGCAGAAGACCTGCTTAATGCAGAACACAGGAATTCAGATACATCAGTCTCAGGGTCTGAATCCTAGATCTTTTCCTTCTGCCCTTTCAAGTCAACAGACTTTTGGCTATTCTCCTTCCAGACTTGCTGTTTCTCCTTTGGGTTAGAAAGAATTCCAGAGGGAATCTGAAGTAGCACAATTTAGCACACAGTAGCACGAGTGTAAAACTATCACTCGGTGGGTTGATGCTAGCTGAAAAGGACTTCAACACACCTCCCCTTGGAAGAGTCTTTCTCAAGCCAGGCAACTTCAAGATGTCTGGACTTCAACTGCCAGAATTCTCAGTAATGGCTGTACTAGGAATTCTGGGAGTTGACATCCACATATCTGGAAGCTGCCTGTTGGGAGATAACTGCTTAGAACTACAATGCCAGGCCCACAAGCCTTGCAAGACACATGCTTTCCCTCTTCAGGCTCCCTCCAAGCTCAAGAACAGCAGTTTTGCCAATACTTTAATGCTTATGTAATCTAATATAGTCAAGCTCAGAGAGTTTCTGATTTTAAGCATAGAAATCCCCATTCCAGACTTATAACACAGAGGACAATTTTCCCCATGCACTTTATTATGCTCATTACTGGCCAATGAAGTTTGCCCTGAAATACCCTCAATGGCAAATTGTCACACGTTGTGCTTGATTGCCTTCCCTCAATTTTTAATACAATTCTGTATTTTAAAAGGGTTAAGTATTGATTGCTCCTCTGCTTGCTCTTCAAACGGGAGATGTAGCTATCGGTTGTATTACACAGCCAGGGGGAAAACATAAAACGATTTTTACCAGCTCCACTCAGAAAGATTTGAGTTCTGGAGTTACATTTTAATGCCAATATATTCTGGGCTGAATGGCATAGAGAGTCTGTATGGACTGGGGGAGCCCTCATTTACCTTAAAAAATGCAAACCACTTGTAGTTATTCAAGACAATTTCAAAGCCTTGGTTGTAAATGATGGTGAAAAAGCCGTAATTCCCTTGATCGTCCTCAGCGATGTCAAGTTTCTGAAGATGAACAGTTATTTTTTTCTCCACGGGACCTAAAAGAAGCAGCAAAGAGAGTTTTCAGTAACTCTTCAGAAGATGAAGAGCTGTCGCGGCACTAACCATGTTAATTACATATTCCTTAACATCCAATAATAATTTTTAAAAAAGACTAGCTGTTTTTATCTGGCCTTATTTTTAGCTGACCTGAGTAGTATTCAGACCTGAGATCAACTGATAAAAAAGTAGACTTTAAACGTCTGAATAAATAAGTAAACATATAAATCCCTCTTACCAATTTTGAATATTTTTTGGCCCTTTAAGAGTCCCCAAAGAATTTGTTGTCAATCTGTTTGAGGCCCAGGTTAAGAACTATATCAAAATATATATTAATTGCCCTGCTGGTAGTAGCTAAACTGGCAATAACTCAGTGACTGAAATTAGATCCTACACCATAACTTGATCATATGGTTAAGCAAAGTATGGTATATGGTATCTATTGAAAATTAGAAACTATGGTATATGGTATCTATTGAAACATATTTGAATCTTTTATCTTAATGTTTTTGGTGGGTTTGTGGGTTTATCTTTTGCTGTTTATCTTGGCTAGTTTAATGTTCTGAACAGTCCTGCATTGGGTTGACCTTGTATCAAATGTTTCCCTTGTTCATTTCACTTCCTTCTGCGTCTGATGTTTCTTCTCAGTTATGTTTATACTGCAGAATTACTTTAAATGATGCCTACAGTCTATAAAGAAGATTGTTCAAAAAAAGATTATGCCACTAACGTTTTTTCTTTTTTTTAAGCCCTAAAACAGATAAAGCCTCGTTCAACTGTTTAAAAAGATTCAAAAAGATAAAGTCTCATTCTAGTTGAGTTCAACTGCTCAAGTTGATGCAGTTCTTGATGCTCCCTGAGCTTGGTTGTTTCATTGCCCAACTAGGTAACATCATCAGTGCAAGTGAGTGCAGAGTTTGCTGCTTGGCCTGGCACTGTACTTCTAAGTAGTATCTCCCAACGGGCAATTTCCAGTTATGTGGATGTCAAGTCCCAGAATTCCTAGTACAGCCACCCTGAGCTACAGATATTCTTTTCTTTTGGGCTCAACAATCTAGATCGAGATTGTTTTCTAGACTAAAATCTGGAATTTCCTGGTACTCTCTCATCCAAGTACTAATCTAGCCACCCTGCTTAGCTTTTTCAAGATCAACCAGGTCAATTAAATGTGGCTACTAGCTGGGCCTTACCATTACTCCTATTTAAAATAATAATTTAAAACAAATAAAAACTGCAATAAACATCAATAATACATTCCTCTGTATTTATGGTAGGATCTAAGTAGTTCTCTATGCTAGCTATTAATTTCATTATAGCAGTATCTTTCATTTTCTGTACTGGTGTTAAAATTTTAAGGTAGATATTTTGATATTTATATTCTATACTATCATTTTGCTTTTAATTGCACAATACTCAAGGACTACTACTAAGAAACAGTTCTAAATATTATTTGGTTTCTGATCCCAAGAACTTGTTTAATTTTTTTATTCTAAAGTATCAGCACCTTCATATTCAATGTGTTACCTTCCAGAAAGACTAACTTAAACCATTGGCAATACAATCCTCTACACCTGATGAGAAATGTAAAAGCATGTTTGAGTTAAAGGGGTTACTCTCCAGTGAACAAATAAAGGATTGAGGCCTAAATAATGTTTAGGCAATGTCAGATGGAGAAGAGAACTCCAATATACTCACATTTGTTAAGATTCCAGAAGGACTTCAGATAAAGAAAAGAATGCAAGAAAGTCGAAGTCAAAAAGGAAATTAAAATATGCACACTATCATTTTAGTTCAGAGTAAAACAAAACAAAACAGAGTAAAATAGAGTAAAACTTCTGGATTACTATATTTGCCCTCAAAGTAAGACATTTGGCCTAAAGTACAAACAATAATACTAATAACATTAATTATTATAATACTATAAACAACTAATAATTAGCCCATAGTAAGTCAGACATGCCCATAGTTACAAAGAACAAGTATAGATAATTGACATTGCAGTAGCTGGAGACAGAAGGGTGAATGAGAAAGAACTAGAAAAAAATGAGGAAATCTAAAGACCTTCAAATAGAGATCAAGCAAATATGGAAAAAGAAACCCTTAGTGGTACCAAGAATGGCTGGTGCCTGGAAAAGCATTTGGATACCACAGGAACAGACAGGATCTCAACTCATCAATTACAAAACGGTGCATTACTTGCACATTACAGCGTTATCTTTAGCTATCTTAAAACCTTGGGAAGGATTCAATAATCAAAAGTATCACATCCAATCATAAATATCTGGTAGACTGTGTGTAAGCAGCACTAACTATTTATGGTTGAAAAATATTGGGATTTAACAACTGAAGTACAGAGATTAAGCAAAAGTTTCCCCCCAAATTATGGCAGCATCAGGAGTTGTAATAATACAAGTGTCAAAACAGTTCAGAAATATTAGAATTGTTTGATCTTACAACATTAGGTTACAAAAAGAGCTTTGCTTGGGACCCCCCACCCCCAACTATATGTATATATGGATGGTATGGCAGTATTTGGATAACTCTTAGGCTTTGGAAAAAAGCTTGAATTGACCCTAAAGTACCAGCATTTGCTGAGTATTCTTCAGAAGAGGATATATAGAGAGAGAGCAAGGAAACATTAAGCACAGAAATCTGCTTACATTTCCTTTAAAAAAAAAAAAAGATTCATGTGACTGGAATTCTGGCTGACCTAATAAGTTTCAGGCACGAGACAATCTCAAAAGTTATTTCTGATTCTGTTGCTTAAAGGTACAGGATGAAAAGTAGAACTTAATTTTTTTCTTTTATGCCACAGCTTGCTGGCAGTACCATGGGAAGGCCTCTAAGGGTAGGGTAATTCCACAGGTCAGATCTTTGGTTAAAGGGCATGTGATCATGAATCAACAAAAATGTTTAAAAAGAAAAATGAAATGAATCAGTTCAGCTCCTAAACAAAACCACCATTTCCCCTCTTTGTTCTCTTTTGCAAGTCTGACTAAGCACCCAACATCAGGAGGGACAGATGACATTTTCTAATTTTCTGTCTGCAACCTCTTAAAGCAGCTGCATCTTTTCCTGGGATTACATGGTTGCCTCCTGCAAATTTAGCATAATCCCACGAATAGTCCTGTTTGGTTTAGGAGTTACAGACAGCTGCTCTGTGTGTGCATTGAAGTACATTTTTTTTACTTTGAACCCAAAGCTCTGCACCGTTGCATCTTTCTCCTTAATAGAAACAAGAAACAAAAGTTAGCAGAGAAAGGGAAGGTATTTTGCATCCACCCCCAGCAAAAATCTTCCATATACATAAATGATGATCTCTTCTATGCATTCACAGAAAGGAGCATTGGTGAAGACCACAAGGAGTTGAGAAATATATGGAAAACAATTGTCAGTTCCGTAAAGTTAAAATGTTTCCCTCCCCGCTGATCCCAATTATTTTTTTAGGTCAGTATAGTGGCAATAAAAGAAAATACTATTTATTTTTATGTTCCCCAAAGGACTGCTTTCTCCCATCCTCCCCAACTCTGGAACAAAATAACCTGCAAAAATACAAAGCTAACTTGGCTTGCATTGATGGTTATGCATTTCTCTTGATATAAGAGATAACTGTTATTTTTAGGGGGCTGAGAATCAGATTTTTGCAAATAAGCAACAGGCAAGAACAGAGAAGAAGTCCTAAAAGAAGACAAAAACCCAAGAAAAAAATAACAGGGAGGGAGAAGAGGAAGTTTAAGAGGCCTTGACATCCAAGCAGAAGCCATTGCAAATTTCTGGTTAATGAGGTACAGTTCTACCATCAACACATGAGAGAGAAACCACAGCTATTAACCTTGAATTTATCTGACAATACATACTGGAAAGCAATTACCCCCTCCTTGTGAATGTACCCCAAATTTGGACTTTAGATGGGCTTTGACCTGATCAAGAAAACCTACCCCCCATGATTTTAGTTGGGGGTGGGAAACAGGAAATCCCTTGCAAATATTTTAATCCCATCACCTACAATAGAAAAGGAAGAAGTGTCAACTGTGTGCTGAATTACTTGAGTCTTGGGTTGTGTAGTGTTGCTCATTATCAACTGTTCTGCCTTATGCACACATGCTGTATGGACAGCTGATTTGGGGGGTGGGCTGTGCTAGCACTGTAACACCAGTTTGGTCTGGACAGCGAATGAGGGAGGGTTTGCTCTGGTGACAGACTGACAAGCCAAGTGTTGAGAGGGGGGAAAGAAAAGTGATAGAAAAAGGAGGGGTGGGCGGTGGCATAGGCGCCACTGGAATATTGGCAACAGTGTGAGTTGGCGGGCTACTTATAGCTTTGCCATATTTGCCCTGCAAAATCACTGGGAGATCCCCGCAAGCTTTCCTTCATCCCAAACATGGAACCACAAAAATGTTCCAAGTTTGATCTCTGCTGAAGGGAGGCCCATCCAGAAGGATTTCTTGAATGCAACAGGTTTGGGTTGGACACCAAAATACATTTCTCAGTTTGTGCCCCACTGTCGTTTGAGCAGAAAATGGGAATTAGCGAACTGAGTTGGAATGGAGAAAGATGTTTGCACAACACGTAAGTCAGATTATCAAAACAGTTCTTCTGTTTGCACAATCCACAGTGCCCAAACCAATCAACTGTATTGTGAGTCACGGGATGGCTGGTTCACCTTCCCACCATGCTGAACTGCAAAAAACCCAATCTCATTTTAACTTAGTTTAGCATGTTGGGTAAGCCCCAGCCTGGGATCATCCAGCTGCATTTAGTACAGCTTCCAACTAGCAATGTTCACACTCACTCGGGACGATGGGAGTTGTAATTTGGAGGCAATCGGTGGGGAGAGGCTGCCTTGGATGGTTCGAACTGATTATTACAGGGCAAAGACGGCTGGGTAGGTTAAATGGGTTGGGGGCTGTTTAACTTGCGTGTTTGTTTTCCGTTGGAAAGTTCTCTTTTTTTTTTTTCCTGAAGAACAGAAGGAGGAAAAAGAGAAA